TAATAAATAATGTTAGTAATAATAAGCAAGTAATGATAGTGATGACAAGAAAAGAATTTTAAACAAAGTATGGAGCAATAAGCAAATATTTTTGAATTTCTATTTTAAGTGCCTTTTTGCTCGATATATTATGAATGACCGCTAATAAATCTCAAACATACAAATTTTAGAATGGACGTAGTTTTTAGAAATCATCCAAAGTATAAGAATTTTAATTTGATATTCAATGTGCTTATATTTGAGAAATTTTCTTAACTCTTTATTACTCACATTTTCTTATTTGTCGACCTTTACCCTTCACTCTATCATTTGTTCTTACTTCTTCTGCTATTATCCTTTATTATTTCTTTTCCTGTTTCAATCAAATTTTAACACTTTATTACGGTTAAAATTGAGGATAATTTAATTTTTGTGTTCGTTTATATTCCAATATTATTTGTATCAAATTTATGAAGGTTTGACTTATTTGACATGAAATAGAGAGAGAAGAGAGAGAGAAAGAAAGAAAGAGGGAGAGGGAGAGAGGGCAAGAGAACTGCTTATCACAGTGAAAGCATAAAAATATAATATTACTTTAAGCCAATGTTACTGTGGAGATTTCTTGGAGAAATCTTAAGTATAAGATGGCATGGAAATTTTCTAAACCTCCGCTCTTATCTTTTCAAGCATAAATCATTTCTTCTACTTTTTCTTCTCCTTCAAATATCATAATCAACTTCTTCGTCAATCAAAGATCATGATATAAGCCAAGAAATGGAGAAATGAATAAAAACTAATCCACTGATTGGAATTCTCTTTTTCGGATTATTGGTAGAAGTTTAAGAATGGAAAAATACTGACTTTAAAAGTTTCAAACGAAAAAAAAAATTAATTGACAGATAAAAAAGTGCCATGCCGGCTAAAAGTTAAAGCAAAAAATACCACAATAAGTCTTTGTTTTCCATCAGAAATTTTAAAATTCGAAATGCAAATTACTTCTACTAAGGAATTATTTTTCAGATTTTGATATTTTTCTTTTTCATAAAATTTTATCATGATAAAACATGTCATGCATGAAACTGTCGATTATTATTATTTTTCAGATTGGACCATACATTAGACTTTTTATAAAATTTACGAAAATTTAAAATTATTGAACATAATTCAGTAGCTATCAAATAGTCGCTGAATAAATAATGGGAAAGCAATATCGTATGTGCATTTAAAGTTGCATCATAACAGAATTTTACATAGAATTCAGACTACCTATATTTCACTCTCAAGGATGGAAACCTTCTGACACTTTTTTCATTAATTAACAGATCTAATGAAACATTTCAATGAAGGAAACAGTTTTTTAATATTAAAAATGATGTACAAACAAGTCATGAAGGAATTCTATACAAATTAAGCATCTGGTTATCTAGCTATAAAGAACAAATCACAGCAAAAGTATCTGAAATTATAAATTTCCTCACCGAATTGAAAATTTTTTTTTTTTAAAAATTAGGAAAAATGACTAAAATCTACCCACTCTACCCATCCAAGATTTTCCTTTCTGCAGGAAATAACTGTAAACAGCGCACAGAAATATAAAAAAGATGAATGCCATAAAATATAAATCAACAGGTACAAGATTCCGGTTGAAATTTACAATTTAAAAAAGTAAAGTTCAATCAACTATCAATATGCACCGAGATGGATTCCGGCTCAATCAATTACTTCAAATGAACTCTCTATACCAATAACTAAAAGATAAAAGTATTTGACATTAGAAAAACCACTGGAAATGCAAATGAATTTAAAAGACAAGCATGAGTCACTAATTTTGATATTCTTGAAAAAACGGATAGATACCTTCCAGTTTTGTTTTGAAACTTTAGATATATAAAATCGCAAAGGTTTCATAAGTCCGCATTTCTTGTTCCTCGGAGCTCAGCTATCTTTCCATCCAATCGAATAACAATCAGATGAAGCCATAAACAAGTTAAAGTTCTCTTTGTTTTTACTGAACTTTCACAGCAATATAAGCTAAACATATAAACAACTTAGACCCTCATACATGAAAACAAGCAACTTGAAACTGGATCCAGATTAACACGTATAATAGAAAGACATCATTATAGAAGGAAGAGATACAAATTAAATTGAATGTTTCTTCTAGGAAGTTCATGAAACTATGCAACCACTTCGACTGCTTGGGTCACGTTCCGTTTCGTAAACCTTTTCTTCTTGTACGGCTGGCAACGATTTGTGGCTTTTCTTCACTTTCGAGAAGTCTGGCATTTTTGCTTTTGATATATCAAATGCTTTATAAACAGCCGGTGTCCACAACTAAAAGAAGAAACATCACAAACGGATGCAAATATAATATAATTAGAGCTCTACTCCCTTATTAAATTATAAAATTCAATGAAACTGGACTATAACTATCAATTACCGGGCTCATGTTCGGCATCATAAATGGCTCTGCTTCAACCAAGCCAAAAGTAGCCTTTCTTTCCGGTTCTGGACATATATCTGGTACTTTCTGGTGATAGATAAAACCATTTTCACGTTCAGCTTTTTCCATATGTCGCTCAAGTAATGGTCGAATACGCCGAAAAAATAGATGGGAGTCAGGTTTTGCAGTGATACCTAAAAAAAGCAATGTTTTCTAAAAATCTCTAAAAAAGAACTCACAGAAACACGCTAAAAAAATTTTTCTGTTCAATGTCTATCTGTACTTAATGTTATAAGTTGCCAGATTTTTTTCCTTTTTCAATAGCGAATAAAAGAAATTTGTCTAACCCGGTCCACTAGCTTTACGGTACTTTTCAGCAAAGTCGACAGCAACATCGAAACATGAAATTCCTTCTCTGCATGCTCTTACTGCATCGCCACATTTATCTTGGGATAATAGATTTTCACCCAAAAAAGCATAAGCATGTGCTGTATATATTTGCGATTTCAATTGAAGATAATAGCGCCATTTTCCAAACAATGATTGATCTAATTTTCCAAGATTTTCATCTAAATAGTGCCAAATTTCATTGTTATTTTTCGATTGTATAAATACAAACAGTGCTCATCGAATTAAAGGATAATTCGGATTGAATGCTAAACAAAATATAATGCTTGTTTTTAATTTCAAACCTGTAAAATGTCAGAATAAACAACACTTGCTTTTAGATGGGTTAAATATGAAGATGAACAAAGTGTATTCATCGTTGATATAAAGATTACTAGATAAATTAATACAATTAAACAAAAAATTAACCAACTGAAGTATTAAAAAGAAAACGTTTGCAAGCCTTCTTAACACTGACCTGCTTGCATAAACAAATGACTGGTCTCATAAGCCAGTGCTGTAATTAGACCGGCATTATGTTTCAGTTCGATAGCACGTGCTACAGTAATTTCTTGTGCTTCAGCTGTGAACTGATGGATGTAAGCAGTAAGTACTGCTGGGTCAAAATCTGAACCCGGAAATGAAGTTAATCCAGAAACTCTACCTAAAATTAAATGATTAACATATTAGGTTAGTTAAACGATTCTAAGTACCGGTCAATGTGAAATGAAGTGAATTAGCATCAGCTAATATAATTCCCTGCTTCTTAAGAGGGAATAAAGTTCCGCAGAACTTTTCTAAAGATACCAGCATTTCCGCGTACAAATATTAATATTCCAGCAGCGCGTCGCAAACAAGTATGTGCTTTTTTAGCATCACTTTCAAATACTTCATCTTTTGCCGCAATCCATGCCGCATGTTTCGATAACCATAAAGCCATATTCACGCACATATTTAATACCTCATACCAACTATCACTAATTTCACTGAAATTATCATATGATAAACAACTATCTATTTAGAAGTAACAGCTCTGCGATCAAATAAAGAAAGTGAATTTTATTATAACAAATGCTGATCAAGAATTATATGCCTACGTTGCTGCTATGCCGAGCATCGAATTGCTCCACCGAAATCGAAGAAGTGTGGAAAGTTTGCTAGTTTTCATATCGGTAATTTTATCATGATCAACAGCAAACACAAAACCACTAAACAATGATAGATACTGCTTGAAGTCGTCGTCCAACATATCTATATCATTACTAGCATTCTTGAAATGTTCCAATAAATGATTACGCCTTAAGCGAAGCTCACTAAAATGAACACATATATCTCTGAATTGTAATGCATTTTTACAACGGAGATAGTATTTAAATAGCAGTTAATAAGAAATTTAATATATTATTGTTTTATTTTACAGCGCTGAGCTATCGCAGCAAAAGTTTAACTGTAAGCTAAAATATAACTACCTCTAATGTGCTTAAAACATCATCAAGCTTTCTCATGACCACAAAAATTTAACCGATAACATGTAGTGCACAATGCTCACATATCAAAATATATCATTTTAAATGTCACAAAGATGAGAAAGTAGATTATTTTAAATGTGATTATTTTAATAAAGTTGATTATTGTAATAAAGTAGATTATTTTAATCACAAAAATGAGAATGTAGATTTCAAAGATAAGTAAAAATCGCAAACATACTTGCAAATTTTCGATGTCTGTGAAGTGGTAAGGATAGATTTGAGTTGGAAATCTACATGTTCTGTTGCTTTGATTGGATTTCGATGGAACCAATGTGCCATTTCAGATCTGTTTCATTAACAAATCATTTCTTTTTTTCGCAATTAAACAAGCTACAAAATAAAATACTTAGTGCTGACCTGTTAAAAGTAATTAATAAAAGAAATATGTATAACAATCAGTTGTCTTTTCATCGAAACTTGAATTTTAATAATAAAACTAAGCAATCATACCATCGAAAAGGTTAATTGGGGAAATTCATGGAATAGATATTACACGAATTTATCTCTAAATCGGCACAAGTCTTTATCTGCTGATATTTTAAATGTTCAGGACGAAATTAATTTAAAATTTCTGGCAACGAATTGGAGAGAAATATTACTGGGATCGGATCGAAGAGGACACTATCAGACTAATGACATAAAACAAAAGGATAACAATGTAAGAAATGTCAAATAATACCGCCCAAAGAGAATTTAAGAAAAAAATTAAATTAAGCAAAGAGTGGATTTTATGCACTGTATTGCATTAAATATTTCAGCAATTCGAGTAATAACAATTATAATCAAAAAGAATTCGAATCCATCTTATCATTCTCTGTCCTCTCTTCTAGCATAACATAACTTTTTATCCTCAGTTACCTCAAATACTGTACAATGTCATTATCTATAACCCTTTTCAGCTTCTACGCATAACGCGTTATTCCAAAACAATCATGCAATCCATGCTCTCTTCCAAATCCCACTGTTTTTTATTCCTCATCTTTCGTCTCACACTTTTCCAATCTCTCTTTGTCTCATTATATCGTCCAACACACTCATACTTATCGTAAGCGTATTTTCACTTTGGGAACCATGCTACTTACAGTAGCTTTCTATTTTGAATGTTTTGCTGTGCAAGGGGGAGGGTTACGGATATGAATTGGATTGTCAAAAAAAATAAAAATTAACCAGATTGACTGCCACATCGTAACCCGGAAATTCAGCATAGCCTGAATTGAAAGCCGTTAATTACTTTAATTTTTCTATAATCGTAATTATGTAAGCTGTACAATGTATCAGAAGATAATTAATGTGGCTAATAAATAAACCTTTTTACCGAACCACAATAGATCTGGTGAATAAACTTTACCGAAAGTTCTTTCCCAAATTTAGATATTATTCTTTACAATAATTATTGAACAGTACTTCTTGCTTCCATAACTTTCAATCGTCTGCTTGTTAAATTTTGTCATTTTAACGATTACATTACCAATTAATGCATTCTTTTAATCTAATTCAGTCCAATGGAATCGGCATGATAAAAAGAGTTCCTTTTTTCATTTCTTTCTCAGTCCGGAGAAAAGTCTCTCCCATTATTTTTTTATTCAATGCAAAATTTCTTCCTTTTTCTAAAGATCACTTATTTTTTTTAAATCGTACTTTTTCATCCTTTTTTCCTGTGATTAAACGAAAAATTTCATTTTCATCCTTTTTTTACTTGTGGAAAAATCTGTCCTATTTCTTTACAGTGTTAAAGCTGCGAGTTCGTTATGAAGAAATCATGCAAAGTTTAAATTTAATCGTATTTAAGTTTCAAGTTAAAATTTAAAATATATTTGAGATAATTCTTTGGTACTTTAAATAAATGATTATATGATGTTGTTCTATTTCATTTGCAGAACTATTGTGAGAACAGTTGTTTTAAATGAAACATAAAGTAATAAAAGTTGGAATGGACCCGCATTAAACTTGATTTATCCATTAATTTGGAATTCACTTTTTGGATTAAAAAATTACAAACATTTGAAAGAAAGATACTATCATCGTTTCCTAACTAATTAATATGCAATCTGATCCAATAACTCTTGGGTTTCATGATAAATTTATGCATATGGGCTAAAATTAGCAAAAAACAAGAAAATTAAGACAACGAAATTTCGAATATAAATCTCTAATTATAACTGTATTGGATTATTTCAAATTTTATTTTTGTTTAGCAAGTGGTTGCATCATAAATATCGGATATATTTTTACTACTCGGCAAAGGTCGATATCTAAAACATCTCGGAATTTGGCTGGAATATTTGTTGCCTTTTCTATGATTTTTGTAAAATAAACATTAAATTAAACATTAATTTTACTAGGTTATTGAAGTTTTCTTCCAGATGCTTTAATCTAGTAGTTTTCGGATTGACAACTTTGTTTTTACCTACAGAAAATCCATTCAGATAATCAATTTAGAAAATTTAATCGTTTGTGCAGAAATTCTTCTTTGCCAGAATCCAATTTGCCAATTAAAATCCAAAAAATATAAAAATATTTCAATACTGATTATATTGTTAATTAGATAACTGGGCAAACCGTGCGGACCACAAAATATCTAAATATAAAAAACTTTTTTTTCAGCTAACCAAAATTGTACATACTGTGGATAATCGGAAGAGAAAGAGGAGAAAGAGAAGAGAGAGGAGGAGAAAAAAGAAAAAAGCTATTGGAAATTTGTAAAACGAAAAATTAAAGATAATGAGTGCAACATTTACTACAGTGTCATTGCTACTCGAATTTGTCATTTCATTCGTCATTATCACGTACATTACGCTACAGCTTTTGCCAGTCATAACATATACTTTGCCAATATGTTTCTGTTGCTGTAAAGTAAAATTTTTTTTGTTGTTGATTTTTTTCATTTGATTTAATTTAAATCTCTAACTAATAGATCTTGATTTGATGACAAATTTCAGACTAATAAAGTTTGAATGATAATGAAAATATCATAAATGAAAAAGTTCTATTAGTCATATAATTTGCATCTTATTGCTAACTAAAAATTATTAACTATTACATTCTCATAATTTTTTTAATGGTTTTAAAGAACTCAAAATGTTGAAATTTTTAACCGATATCATTCATAAGTTTATTCAAAACTATGATTGGATGAATATTTGAGAAGAGAAAGAAGAAGAAGAAGAAGAAGAGAAAGAAATCAATTTCAGAAGATTATGGTGAAGAAAAGGACACGAATGAAACGATGCTAAAAAGTTGGTAAATTATTGAAATCGTGAAAGAGCAAGTGGCATCATTTAAATTTATTTTTATTAAAAATGCACATTACAGCAAAGCCTCCTCCTAAAAAAGGCGCTTTTTCGCCTGTCCATCTACCACAACGGCCAATTCAAGGAGGTTTAGCCGGTACGCATGACCCAAATTATCAAGTAATGCTTTTTTTATTTCTTATCTTAATGGTTAGCTAAATTGTCAAATTGCAATTTAATTTTAAGCAAATGGTAAAACCAAAAACTAAGGCTTATTATAAACTTTTTCCTTTTCTAAATTTCATAAAAAAAGAAATTCTTTTATTTTTTCTGTTGAATAGATGAAATTCTATTAGGAATGGGAATGAAAAAATAGAAAAAACTCATCTCTATTAATTGTATTCTCGTTCCTATTTTAAATTTATTACTTCAATAATTTTAGATAATGATCAATAGTGAATTACCTAATGCCTTCTTTACTTGTTAGCAAAATAAGGATATTTAATTTTGTTAGAATCATTCAAAAAATTGCATCCCAATTCCTTTTTTTTTACTTTTTATAAATCGCAGTTTAATTCATGAAGAAAAAATTTTCTTTTCCTCTTTAAAAAGAAAATAAAAATTATCCAGACCTTAGCTGGTATCGGTGCTGATATATTTGGTGGTGATAAGCAAGTAGGCGGTGCTGGTGGTGCAAGCCCAGCAATGTTACCGAAAGCACCGACACAAGGCGGAATAGTCGGTACTCACGATCCGAACTATCAGGTAATCAAAAGTTTCCAATCCAATGATTTGTTAGGGAAAATAAATGATTCTATCGAATGTTAAAAATTTCGAAATAAACATTTCACAAAATTAGACCTTAGCCGGTATTGCTGGAGATATATTTGGAGCGGATAAGGCAGGCGATGGTGGAAACTTGAAGAAACCAACAGATCAAGGTGGTGTAGCTGGTACATTCGATCCAAATTATCAAGTAATGTACATTATCTTTAAAAGAGAAAAAAACACGAAATTTCCAAAAATTTATACTAATTTCGAAAAAACTTGAAATTTTAAACATCCTTTACCTTGCTAATAGAAATTCTTTTCAGACATTAGCTGCTATTGGTGGTGATATTTTTGGTGCAGATAAGAAAGGTGAAGCATATACACCTATTCGTGCTCCTAGTGCACCGCAAGGAAAGGTATGCAAAAAAAGATTCGTAAAATTTTAATTGAATAATTGAACTAATTGGTAAATTATTAATCACCTTTGATTCTAATGGATGGAGTTTGAAAGGAATTGTGATAGTTTTTTTCTTATTATTTAATAAATATTTGAAAATAATAAAATGAAATATGAAGAAAAAAGTGAAATTGGATGAATAAGATGAGAGGGAAAATAAATTTCAATTAAAAAAATTTTCTTTATTATTTTTGGAAATGACCAAATTAAAGCTATATACTAATGGTTTGAATGAACTTATAAGTGTAAATTATATATAGGCTGGAACATTTGATCCAAATTATCAAACATTAGCTGCTATAAATCAAGATATCTTCGGTGCTGATAAAAAAGTTAATGGAAAAGCAAATATTCAAGAACCCGAACAGAAAGATAAAAAAGTAAATACCTATTTACCATTATTATTATCATCAAGTCAAATCATCAATAAGATACAATAAACATCAAATAACTGATATCGGTCTTATTGTCTGATAAAAAATATCATATTATTAAATAGAATAAAATGCTAGAACCATATTTTTTTTATCCACTAGAAATATTACATAACAGATTAGTTTAACACATAACATTTATCATCTATCCGTTGAGAAGACTGTCTGAAACAATTTAAGATACTGTAACAGTTCATGCTGTACTCTGTCCATTGGATAATAATAACGAATATTTTTATATTGATATTTCTGAAGTTTACATAAGTTGAAAATATTGTACGATGAAATAGAATGGAATGCTTCAGTAATTCATGTATTGCTGAAAACAATCTGTTCCATTTATATATCAGAAACAAGAGAATTATAATAATTGGTTTTAAAATTATAATAATTGGTCATAAATCAATTTATATTATAGGCTGCAACATTTGATCCGAATTATCAAACGTTAGCAGGTATAAATCAAGATATCTTTGGCGCTGATAAGAAGAGGTGGTGATAAGTAAAGGTAATTGATAATGCTATGATAGATGATAGGAATTTAGAATGTTCCCAATCATTAGAATGCTTTTTTCTTCCTCTCCAAACAAAGCGTTAATTTGATTTGTTTTAATATAAAACAACACGAAGTGAAAAATTTGATGCATGATAGAATTAAATTTGATGGGATTATTGTTCGAAAATGATATTATTATGCAGTTTCATGCAGTTTCTCGACATGTCAAATATGGTAATCTAAAAATCTAAAATTGATTAATTGAATTAATCTTGCATTATCAATGCAGTTGTAAAACTTACATGCATTATTCGTGCATCATTTAAAATCTTCTCAGTTATAGTTTACAAATATATCATTGGTGCCTAATTACCTCACCAAAATTTGAGCCGAAGCAAGATTTAATCGAAATTTTTGAAATATTTAAATACTTGGACGTAATCCTTGAAATATCCAAATATATCGCTTAATTAATTGATTTGCACTTAATTCATTCGAAATTGGTTTTTTTCAAAAGCAAATATATGAAATATTTGAAAGTGTTTGAATACATAAAATATTTATGACGAGTGTGGAGATCAGTTGTGCAACAATTCATTACAACCTTTGTCACCTTTGCACCCTACCAGTCCACTGAACGGGATTATTCTAATTAGCAATGTCAGATCAAACACTTCCTATGTTTCTTCACCCGGGACTTCTGCACTTTTTCCTTGAAACAATTTGCAAAACCATTCAACATCTTTACCTTTTTCTCGGTATGTACGGATCGATGAGAGAAGTACGCTTGTTCTTTTCTTTGGTATTCATTTATGAAATTTAGCAGTAACTACAACAATACAAACTTCTAACAAACAAAATCACAGGTCCTTGAATAGTTGAAATCTAACTTTGGAAATTTAAGATTAAAACGTTAGATTCATTAAAACTGCTATTGTCTTCATGAGTTTTCATGCCAATTTCATTGTGGGCTATTGAATAAAGTGAAGAAACAGCAAAATTTGATTTGAGAACATATCGGTGTTTCAAGCAAAAAATCCCATGAGCATAACAAATTTACGCAAAAATGAACATTTAAATGCTTCAACAGCTAAGCTTATCTAAACAGTAAATTAAATTTGTACGTCTGCTATTGAGCAAGAACTGGATATTGTTCGTGAATACTCGTTATTATTCATCAAAATATCAAACGGCATTATAATATACGTTCATCTAATGATGAAATCATAAATATATTACACAGAAGTTGTGCACGAGAAAATGCTAGAGATATTTTGAAATATTTCGGAGATTTTCCAAAAGAATGCAGAGCCCTCAAAGAATACTGTAATATCAGAAAAAATCACAGATATTCCAGCATTTAAAATTAATCAATAATAGATTCACACTCATTTCCTCATTATAAACTGAAAAAATTTTCCTGTGGCAATTGTAATTGCATAAAATTTGAAAAAAAAAATTGAATCAGATATCATTCCCCACCTCTCTACAAATATTGGTTCCAATTTTGCTGAACTTATTAAATTTGAAATTTTTTAAAAGAATTTCTTATTGTCAATACTACCACTCAACTACGAAGATCTTGATGGCATTAAATAGTGAAGTAACGGTTTCATATTATGTTACTGACAACAGTACAGTACATCAGCTGGTGAATTATTGTAGATCGATCGACATGTTCGCAAAACTAAAGAAGTATTTTGATAATTTATATATTTTCACGAATGGGAAAGAAAAGATATCAAACAATAAAAAACCATTCAAATCTTTTTTTAGCAAATAGCGATTAGTGTGCATAATCCAAATAACTTTAAAAAAATACAAGGAAAACTTAAAAAATTTTAGCGAGATCTATGAAAATGGCTAAATCACAAAATTTCGGTTCCCCAGCTAAACAGCAGGAACAAATTAAACAGATCATCAAAATCCGAAACTTAGCAGCAAGATAGATTCTTCTTTTGAAATTTGCACACTTTCAAAATCTTTGGTTTAGTGTAATTCACTCACAAGAATTCCAACACGATTTAATCTTAACTGACAAAAAGAAATCCTAACACGTCACAGTTTGAAGTTTTAAGCAGTCAGTAGGAACACTAATTATTTTTCTGCTTCCTTGCATGTTCTCTTTCTTCTTTGGTACTAAAAAATGCTTTCCTGTCTGCTGGTTCAATATTGTTCTCCACTGCAAACTGCACCAATGGACGTTTCATCGCATAGGCATCCTCACCATCAGCATAATATTTTGGTTCCACATCAGAAATTTCAAATTTCAATGTGTTCTACAAAAAAATTTCATCAATCAAACAGTTATTCTTCTTTCTGCTTACCGAAATTAAATGTATTTTGCTTTTTTTAACAATAGTTCCTGTGCTAAGTATTTTTATATTTTCCCCAATCTCTTTTTTCTTATAATATATAAGAGAAAAAATTCATTATCCAAGAACATACTATCTCAAATGTGGGATAAGGATATTATAACATCACTCGTTATAAAATAGTAATCAACCGTTGAAATAATTTTCAATTATTACTTCGAAATTTCGGAATTTAAGAGTGATTTTCACGTATTTTGATATTTAATGTCATAAAGAGTTTTTACATTTTATTTTCTAGAAACTTAAATTGTTGGGTATTAAAAAACGAAGACTGTCGAAATAACAAACCTGATAAAGATTCAATGCAGCTCTGTTTGAAACACGTACGTGGAGCGACACGTAGCGAGCATTGAATGTTTCAATCATTGCACGAGCCGTCTGATCCATTAACTTTTGGGCAAGACCAAGACGGCGGTATGAACGCTTGACTGCCAATGAGGTGATATGACCATGAGGCTCATCATCTGCTTCTTCTTCCATTTTTGCCAATACATAGCCAACAATATTACCCTTCAATAAACTGAATGATTTCAGAAACATGCAATAATCAAATGAAATATAACTAAAAATTACCAAGCAATTATAACATATCATAGTCTGGTCTTGCAATAGAAGTGAAAATCAACAATCGCATGAGAATAAAGATTTCATAACAAATCTTTGAAGAATTTCAAGATTTCAAGCAAAAATTTTGTAGATATTTATCTTTCATCTCTTTACTGATAAAAATGGCATACATTTCAGCTTTTGCAGCACAATACTGCTTTACAGTCTACATCACTAAAAAATCTTTTTCAAACACCAAGTATCAATTTACAAAACTAAATATAATTAAACTAGCAGTTGTACCAAAACCTGACAAATTCAACAAATAATATGGAAAAAAATCGAAACCATTTGTTGTGAAATATAGAAATTCATATTTTTTTTCCATCAGAACTCTATTTAGCAATGTACAATGCTTGCCGTCGAAGGAATACTTTAGGAATGATAACACTAAATTCTTCATACGTTAACATATCAAACAAGTTACGATCTCCACAATCCATTTTTATCGACCGCCCGCTATGGGTAACCATTATGATCATTTCAATTACCTTATCATCTTCAGCAACATATGACAACTGTGGCCATGATAAGGCGTGATAAAAGTAATACTTCATTTGGTAATTTTCTGGTAAGCATAGCAAATTGCAATGCTGCGTATTTAATAAATCATCCGCTTTCGCTACTCGAAGATTCATTTTTTCATCGATTCTAAAATTAGCAATATCAAACTATTCAAAACTTGAAATTGAACCGGTTATATGAACTTTATTAAAGCTACATCACCCATACCTCTTGTACCTATTCACCTGTGCTCACTCCACATCACCAGTTATCCTCCACTCCCGAATCAACCGGGAATGCGTCACACAAACCCACCACTACTCTGACTCACTATTTCACGGCTCAAATGCAAACAACTGATTCCCACCAAAGTTTCAATTTGAATTTGAGTAAAAACGTTTTGACATGTGTATGGAATAAATTTTATATAAATGGCCAGGCTTAAATTAAATGAATTTTCGCTTTAAATTTCTATCATTCTTATTAAAATGAAGGGGGAGGAATGGAATAATTTGTATTGATGAGAAATCGAACGTTATTTAAAGATGATAAATCTGACCTAATTAAATCATATCTTCAATTGAGGAGTAAAATATGAAACGAATAACTTTTGCTAACATTTATGTGATCTTCGCTAAACTTTTAAAAGTAAGTAAAGATACTGAACAAAAAAGTTGCCAACAAAATTGCAATTCTTCAAAATAAAGGAAGGAAATTTTTATCTAACACAAGTTTAAATTTTTATACTCAATTTAATGCCAATGATTTTGTGAATTTATTAAGTTTCGTACTTGCTGATTTTTTATTAAATATTTTGACATACTTTGAATATTTTTTGCTGAAAAATTTGAAAACTTGTTATTGCCAATTTTTGTACATAAAAGTTCATGGGGGACCATGTATGTACGGTAAACAAGGAAACCAATATGAATTATTTACGAGTGAAAAAGACCTACCATCGAAATTCAGGGCGCAAATATACGCTTAATTAAGTGAAATATTTCGTCTTATTTCTAAATTATTTCTTTGAATTAACTAATCTAAAATTTGTTTAAAAACATTTGTCTTTTTTAAATCATTTATTACTCTCATCGATTACTGGCTTATTTATTTAAAGTTTGAAATTTGAAATCCAACTTTGCAATCATCAGTGTCTTTTCCATATCTTTAAACTCCTAATGTAGACTAAAAATTTACAACTGGCCTCAAAAATTATTTAAATGCAATTGCTCTTTCCATGTTGAAAATTTCAAATTGAATCTAAATTCAATTCCATTCCATTTCTTGAATTTTCTCCATTTATTGCAAGTTGAAAACTTAAAATTGAGCGAAACAACTAGTTGAGTTTAATTTTTCTGATAAATTTATATACCTATTACATTCACAACAATTTATTTGCTGCTTTTAGACACATGTTTTTTAGAGTTTTCTTCAATTCAATTTTAGCTAATACTTTATTTTCGTTCGAGAGACTAAAATGAAATGAAACCATTTGATTACTTCTTTTCTAAAATCACT